ATGTCAAACTGTATCAAAAGATTACAGCCTTGTTTGAATATGCTGGCTGTGATTTTTTTTTTTTTTACAACTGATTACTTAAAAAAATAAAATAAAAACACAAACACATTAACTCCCAGATATGCAAATAAAAATGTGCATTCATCCTTGACCTGATATGCAGTTTGTAATTGAAATTGCGTTGGTATACAAACCTGTGCTCTGTAAAGAAGCTCTGCTGATATGCGGCATGCTGCAATTTCAGAAGATAAGGAGTTAAGAGGGAAGGAGGCAGCACAACATCATGAGAGCCATCAAGACCAGAATTTTCTCCGATAATCCATTGTGCTTCTATTGTCAGAAGATAAAACCCGTGGAGCTATTTTTCCAACAAATATTCGTATTCACTCTGTGAAATATTACTCCTGTCTTATCTCAGAAACATATGGGCAAAGAAAGCTTTGATAGATTGTGGCCCTTTAAAAAAAAGGAAAATCTTAAGTCAGAAAATGATGRTTTAATTCATGTAAACCTCTGCTGGTGCCCGGCTCCTATCTTTCAACACTGTTTTTGTGTTGTTTAAAAGCTCACTTTATTTCCTTTTGGGGAAGCTTATGCATTTTTTTTAAAGAAATTAACATTTTATTCCATTTCTCAGGTGGAAATTGGACATATAAGTCTCAAATTAATGTTTAACCTAGAGATTAGTTTATTTGCCATAGCTGGCATATCCTCTTATTTACATTTTGTCAAGCCAGTCTGAGTGACGTGTAATTTAGAACATTAAACATGTTACATGTAAGTCCCTGAAATTGTGCATGTTTTTTTTTCTTATCTTCATAAGTGGATGCTAATTATGGGAAGGAGGCTTCGGTTTTGCTTTATCTCTCACTTTTTCCACCCCGAATAATATGCTTTGATGTTTGGCCATACTGAAATCAGAAACAGCAAAAAATAAAAAAAAAATAAAAAGAATAAAAAACAGAAAGGATTACCGGTAAGTCCAAAAGTGGAATGTGGAGAAATAGGCAGATATAGGGTTTTGATTTAAACGTGTGCAAAAATTGCATTTTTGTCAAAATATAATGAAATAATGCCTTATCAATGTATCCATTTGAATGAACTGTTTGAAGCACTTTTTTGAGCAGTAGCAACAAAAATACTTATTTTGAGGAAAAACGGCTTAAAAATTTTAAGTATTCCCTGTGAGCAAGCAATGCTTTTGTTTCTTTCCAACTGGAAAATCATAATATACTAATACTATTTGAGGTTTCCTCTTTACATTGACATCAATACTTACTCCAAAAAAATTACATAAAATTAGGATTCCAACCAAAGAGTAATGTTTTATCATAACCAACAAGACAATTTAAGTCATATCTCTGGACAAGCTTTTCCAAAACTTCCAGTTTTATAYGCTTGTTACTTTCCTCTCTTCATGGAGGCAGGGATACATCTAACAAAACTATTTCCAGGCCATGCTTRTTTAGAAGCACAGCTCTCCAGGGCAGACCCAGGTGTATTTGTTGCCTGAAGAAAGAAATGTTGACACATTAGGAGCCAGGGTGTCATCAGAAAGCTGCAGTGTTTTGGGCCATGCTACCTCTGGCAACCACACCAGGAAAGAATGATGTTGTGAACAATACGATGAAAGCAAAAGAGGAACAGGGTAAAGATGACAGATGCTGAGAGCTGRTTGTCTACTGGTGCGTTAACCTGATGAATAATTTCTGCTTTTTGCTGAAAGTAAAAAAAAACAAAACAAAAAAAAACAGTCATTGTGTTTTAAACACAACAGTGTGTGATATAATATAAAGTTAAACAGAGAAAAATAGCCACTAATTGTGAGTTTTGGGAACTTCCATCCTTGCCTTTGGCTAACTTCTGTGACCTCTGCCGTGGGCCAGCCTCAGGCTCTTCACAAATGTTGGAGAAAGTGTCTCCCTGTTTCAATCCAAGACTGAGCAGAGGAAAAATAATGAGCAAGGAAGCAAGCAAAAAGAATGAGGCTGAGAACTATCACAGTCATAATGTCAAACTGAATGAGTGGAAAGCCTAAAATATTCATTGTTTTATGTTCCTTAAGACCAACGTCAGAATGTCTGAAAAAAGAGAACAAAAACGGAGCCAAAGAATAGCGTGAAAGAGTGGGTGAAGATAAGTTATACAATTCATTTTAGCCCTTCAAATCCTTTGTTTTTAGCACTCTCCAACTACCTGAGAGCTTTGGAAGTGGTTTTACTTCATGGTTTTACCATGWGGCGACCATCACATGTGGCAGTGATTTAAAGGGGCAATATTATGTGTTGCAGGCATATATTTAAATTCTATACCATAATAAAGTATCTATGYCAAGRAATTCTTCAGAGAGTGGCAGGATGACGTAGTTGTGGGAGCTGTCCCCTCACAGTAAGAAGGTCACAAGTATGCATCCTGGCCTTTTTGTGTAGTTTGTATTCTCCCCCCATGCAAACATGTTCTTTTTTCCCCCTAAGAACTTCAATTTGAATGAATTTGGGGTTAACTGAAAACTGTAAAATGTCCACAGGTATGTGTCATGTTTGTTTCTGAGGCCCGGTGATGGTCTTGCAATCTGTCCAGAATGCATCCTGCCTCCTGCACAGTGACTGTTAGTGTCTGTCTTTTTTTGGTCAATCATTTTTTTAAACATATGGTTTTTCTATTATCATTTTATACTCAAAGAATGTAAAAAAAAACAGACCATCTTTTTTGTTTTTGTCAAACATAAACTTTAACGCCATCAAGGCAACTCAATTTTGTCAAAGCTTCAAGTTCCTCACCAAGGCTCCATGTGCTAAAAGCACCAGATGCTACAAGAAACAGTTTGACTCATCAGTGATATACAAAAAACTTTCAGCTGATACCTGTTTAAGAAATGTAAAACTAGTTAGCTAGAATTTATTTATAGAAGCTGCCTGGTTAGCTACATAAAACATGTTTATTCATCCCAATGTACTAGCTAGTCTAGCTATAAAAATACAGTCTGTGGGTAGTTAAAGAAATGAAAGCTAGCCAGCATTTATTTATTTATTAACAAGCAGCAGACTGTAAAAGTTTTTTTTTTTTAACTAGCTCCACCTTAAGTGGCCTGATAACAACTGTGATAAACTTCTAGTTAGAGAAAAACAAAACAATGAACCATTTTTTGGAGTATAAAATGAAAATATAATAACCATCTGTTTTTTTCATTTTTCAGTATCTAATTTGTCTGATCATTGATAGGCACCAACCACTCTGCAACCTTGGCAAAGTATTCTGAACTAAAAAAAAATAAATAATAATAAAAAATAATAATAAAAAACACGGGCCTTGTTCATTATAAACCATGCATTATGTGAATGGCTTATTCTTTGAMTGGAACAATGTTTGAACCACCTTGCATTTCCTCAGCTTTACTGTACACAGTGGCTGTTTCCCAGAGATCAGTTTAAAGCTGTGGAAATAAATACAAATAAATAAATAAATAAAATATCACGCACTGTTGTGACTGGAGGTGTGATTGCTGTGCATATGGCTGTATCAGCAGCGTTTTCTGTGTCATGAATCATGAACACCTTCAGTGTTGCCTCCCACCTTGTTGCTGCATGCTGTGCTCTACAGCTGTTCTTGGAGGAACAAGACAAATAAGAAGTATTTATTTACCCCCCCCCCCCCACATATTCACTCAAATGGATTTTAGGACTTTATTGAGCATTAAAAAATATACACCAAGGAAAATATTTCCCCCYTTTTTCCGCATATTTTCTCTTTCATCTTAATATCTGACTCTTGCAGATGAACAATCCATGACCCAACGTGACAAAATGAAAACAAACAAATGAACAAAAAGAAAAAAAAAAGTTTAGTTCAACAGTAAAATTTAAGAACACTGTTTCAGYGATGTTGGTCCGTGCGTTCATTCACTGAAATTCTGGGGGAAAAAAAGGGATCTAAAACAGATTTGGTTTGAACAAAAGTGGAATCACAGACTAGGTGGTCACATCTGACTCTGCCTCTTCATAGAGTTCTGCTAGCCTCTGAAACTCGATTCCCCAATCATTCAGATAGTTATACTCCTGTTCCGACTGTGTGCCAAGAGAGTCCAACGGACTGATAGATCCCGTAGAAGAGCCCTGTCCCTCGTAAGCATAGGTCTGAAGGGAGTCATAGGGCGGTACGCTGGTGTCCATATCRGCCTCCACCAGTCTCTGTCTGATGAATTTGTGCACGTCCACTTCGTTCAGCTCCACCAATGGGCTCCTGTGGATGTGGGGCAGGCTACAATGACTCAGCGCCTCTGGGCGGATGTCCCGTCTGAACTTGAGCTCCTCTGCRGCAGTTGGGTTACGGAGAGCAATGATGTCGAACGCCTCCGTGTCCTCCTCGCCGCCACCCTCGTCATCATAAGTCACAACGTTTTCTCGGATGTCCTCTTCAGCAATGATAAGGGGCTCTTTCTTGCTCCTCCTCAGTGTGATGAACAGAACCACAATCGCTACAAGACAGAAATAAAATAATCAAAATAAGAAGTGTTCAGGATTTGAACTGAATATGCTAAATAAGAAATGATGGAGTTTTAAGACCAGTTCGTAAAAATCAGTCACAGTCTTGTATAAAGTACTTCAAAGTGATACTTGAGTGAAAGTACAATTATCCTTCTATAAAATTACTTTGGTAAAGTCTTTTTTTAAGAATATTCCTTGAGTAAAAGTCTTAAAGTATCTGACAATTACTGTACTAAACTATCAAACGTAAATTTCTGATATGAAATGAATTAAAAGTAAAAGTGAGCTGTTAGAATTTCCAAAATGACAGTTAAGAAGCAAAAAAAAATCTCTTAAGACCATTATGACTTTAATGATATATAAAAATGTTATTGTAAAATTTGAGTTGCACTAGGTTACTTGTTTCAGCTGCATGCTAGGCTACCTTGTCTGTTATATCCTGCCGGTGTGTGATGTGATTTGTGTCAGACAGGTGTGATGGATTGAGTACAAACCACTAGGGTGTAACGATACATATTTAAACTTTTTAATTTATACAGTTAAATTCACTCCATCTGGGAGGCACCATATACAGTTTTTGTATAGTTTTTATTTTATTTTATTTTATTTCTTAAACATTASACAAGCCCTAATGAAATAGGAGTAATGATTTTCTACTGTTTGCCTTTTGTAAAAAATATAAGGAATAGAAACTGCATGAAAATGCAATGGGAAGAAGTAAAACATCAGCTGATTACTCAAGTAAAACTTAGATAAACACACTTCTACTTAAGTAAAGCAATCAACTCTTTGTATTTTATTAATTTACAACTCTGATCAGTTCAAGTCAAACAGTGGCATTGCCATTTAACATTTAGCAATTAACACCTATATAAAGTTAATTCACAAAAAAAGCTTTTCAATTAAAAAGAAATAAAGAAAATTCTTAATCCATTATGAAAAATGAGAGCATGGCTAATCCCCTCTGTTTAGGAAAACATAAATTGAAATAAATAATGAATGGCCAAATTTAACAGAAACATGGTTTGTTAAAAATTAGTCCCTGCATTGTCTGCCTAAAATAATCAGCTGCTTTAAAAAAAATGTGGACCTTGAGCAAATTTTGTTGATGGATTTGGAGATTTTCCATAATTAGGGGCTTACATTGTCAAATGATCATTCCTATTATTATTAAAGCTGGTATGTCAAGTGACATTTTATGAGCAGTGTTCCAACAAGTATATGTGTGGCTTTAGTTTATTGATAGCTTCACAGCAAGGTCTTAAATCTTACATTATGAAGCAAAATTAGCATAAATGAAAATGCTAAGTTTTTTAATGGTTTATTATGCTGCACTATCAAAGATGAATGAGAAAGGTCAGTTTCTTTTTTGCAGAAACTTTGCCTCCTCACAGCTGAACATTAATGTRTGTTAACAGAAAGAAACAAAAGACACTCCTCAGGAACATAAAGGGAATTCTCTGTAATAAAAAYGCTTCTGCTTGAAAGGTGATATAAACATCAGCTCACTTCTGTGTCAGAGCCTCCACTCAGAATGTGACATCTTATAGTTATTAGGAGGTGTGAGACAAGAAAGTGGAAGTGTTAAATAAAGATCTTATCATATTCAGCTCCGATAACCCAAATGAGTCCAGAATTGATTTGACTAATCTAATAAATTGACTCAAGCAGTGCCATTTTGGTATAGATATTCTGGAGCCACATGTATTACCATAGTTTAACTAGTGAGGACTTCAATTTTCTAATTTTCTTGGAGGCAAACACGATGGGAAAGAATAACTACAGTATCCAAGCTCAATATGTAGGCCAAGCAGGGCTTTAGGGTTTTGGCAGAAATTGTAAATTTCACAGGTACAGAGGATAAAATGACTGTTTCCTGTTATAATGATCATCAGATTGACTGATAGACACTCGGGTAAGAATCAAATATACCCTTTGTGTTAAAAGTCTCACACTGCACAGTTAGATTAAGGCCATTTATGAAAACAAACTTATAAGGAAAATGTTAAATAATTTACTTTTTTGTCTTCTGTGTGACCTGAGGTCAAAATTATCAACTGCCACTACATAAATAAATAAATTGGACTGAAAATCATCCAGCAAGTTTATTTACCAGTTGGCTTTTTCGACATGATTAATGTTGCACTGAAATAAGAAATTACATATTAAACTGATGTCCCAACATTTTCTTAAAAGAGATACATATAGACTGCTGACTTTCAGCATATATTTATACAACACAGTATGAAATATTTTGCAAACAGACAAACAGGTTTGACTTCAACACTAAATGCAAAAGTTTTAATCAATAATCTTGACAACTCAGTGCACAATCAGGGGAACCTCACCGGCGGACTGGACGAAGTAAACCACGGGACGCCCGTTGAATAGCCCTGCTATGCAAGTTGTCGATGTATAACCAGTGATTTTTTCTTTCATTAAAGTTGAATTAAAAAAAAACTGTTCAGTGGTTCTTGATATATGTGACCCATCACACTGAAATGAGGATTAAGTCCAAAAGTGGAATGTGGAGAAATCGGCAGATATAGGGTTTTGATTTAAACATGTGCAAAATTTGCATTTTGTCAAAACATAATGAATTAATGCCTTATCAGTGTATCATTTGAATGAACTGTCTGAAATATAATCCTAAAAATAACTGAAGCATTTTTGAGCAGTAGCAACAAAAAAAAAATTAAAAAAAAATAAAAAAAATTATGAGAAAAAATGCCTTAACATTTTGAATTTTCCTCTGTGATCTGGCAACGTTTTTGTTTCTTTCCAACTGGGAAATCTTAATATACAAATACAGTACAATTTGAGGTTTTCTCTTTATATTGTCATCAAGAATAACTCAGTAAATTTACATAAAATAAGAATTCAGACAAACTATTAATGTATTATTCTAACCAACAAGACAAATTAAGTCTTATGTCTGGATAAGTTTATGAAAACAGAATGATCCAGGCATCAAAATGTATCTTTTACAGCCAAGAATCTGAAAATGTAATTAGGTCAATTTGACCAAATTTGACTTAATCCTCATTTCGATATGATGGGTCACATATTTTGTTCAGCGCTCTATGAGATAAGCCCCTCACCACCGCCACACACACACACACACACACACACACATTCAAATACGAATGTGTATGATTGTCATTCATTGTTAGAAACATTTTAAGAAGGCATTACAGGGTTTGCTTTTCCTTTCCTCGAGCATAAGTGGGAATCCTTCAAGGGTCACATGGGTAAGAG